TGTATATCGCAGTAGCTATTGAAATACAGACGTTCAGATCATTGTTCGCCTATTTTGATTTCGACCAAGCATTCTGTCCCGTCTGCCGTGTCGTGGGGATGATCTCCCTTCCCCGGCCATGCCCGGTTCTCCTTGCCAAAAGGTCCATTCGCTAGTAAGCTGGACATTCGACTCCAAGACGGACCTGCGCTTGTCGGGCTCGCAAGCGATTGCATTCGGCTGAGGGGGAGATTGCGCCGTGCGCAATGTATGGAGAGTTCTATGTATGCGCTTGCGATCCTCACGCCGCTTGCGAGCGATTGTGGTCCTCGCAAGCGCTTGCACGCGCCCGCGATCGTTTCGGGACTTTGCTGATGATCTAGCAAGCTAACTTACTGTATTGTTACGCTCCAACTATTATGTCTAGGCCCTCGTTGCCAAAGCTACTGTCTTCCGGAGGCCGATATCACGGTTCGCTTGTTCGCCTGTGCAGGGTTGGTGAGGACACTGAGGAGCGCCCGGTTCCCGAAGTTCGAACCGCCCGCGGTTGATGCATGTGAACGTTGATGTTGAAGCGCTGCCGCCACCGTTTCGACAGTTACCTCCACCATGTCTGCGCACATCGTGCTGAATTGCGGCTAATGGCGATATACATGCAGTCTATACCATGACGGTTTGCCAAGTCTCGGCCAAATCCCCGAGCCAAGACACTTGCTGGAAGATGCTAGGCCCAAGTTTCGGACCCTGTCGTCATCGTGTGCTCCATCTCCGGTCCAAGACACAATGCACCCACGCTGACAACGTCAGGCCGAGATGGAATATATGCGCTTCAGGAACAGAAATAGACCCGCGGACGCAACGCGGGACGACTTCTCCTCCTCTTCTTGCCCTTGACATACACCGCTGCAGTGTATATCTCGGCGAGGGCCTCTGCACACGTTCTGAGCACTAGCAGCCGACTCGGATGATCGTGAACTGCTCTTATCTGCGATCTCTGGCTGCCGGCGGCCTCCTTCTCGCTGCGTCGACGTCATTCGTGCCAGTGCGCGGACAGAGCCTCACCAACGACCAGCTCGACCAAGTGAAGGCGCGCCTCGCGGAGGGCGCAACACACAGGTGCGTCAGTTCCTTACTCTGCTGCGGACGGCATAGCTCACGCAACTCAGCTGGGAGATCGGGACACGGGCGCAAGCACTCATCGAGTCCGATACGCCTTCCTGGTCCGTGCTCAACTCGAGCTCCCTACCTCCATCGCACTCTGCACCCTCGTCGCTCGACGAGGTCATTTCCATCGCAAGCTCTGTGGTCAAGAACCGCACGAGCAACAAGATCAATGGCCCGCAACCCTTGATGGACGCGAACGGAGGTGCAGCGGGGGACCCACCGAGCATCGGCGTCGCGGTGCTACTCGCGAACTGGACGGGCGCGGGCTCGCAGGACAATGTGGACTATGCGGGGGCGGCGACGGATCAGCTGGAGTATCTGCTGGAGAAGGTGCCAAAGACTAGCGATGGGGCCATCTCCCACCGGTCGGAGCAGGTAGCGCTGTGGTGAGTACTTATCTCAATTTTCGCTCCTTCCCTTTACGGCCGGAGTGGTTAAATACCTGGTGTGGAGCAAGAAGGAGGAGGGTTACTTGGGTCCCGAATAGTGGCTGACGCCCACTGTGCAGGTCTGACTTCGTATACATGGTCCCGCCATTCCTGGCGTACTACGGCGTCCTCACGCAAAACCAAAGTCTGGTGCAAGCCGCCTACGACCAGTGTCGTCTGTATCGACAATATCTCGTGGATGACGACGCTGGCGGGATGTGGAAGCACATAGCGATGGGCAGCAACCCCGACAACGGACACTGGACTACTGGTAAGTCGCCTATCACCCCCCAGCCAGCATAAGCTGATGTGCGACTCCAACTCGGTAGGGAACGGGTGGGCCGCGGGTGGGATGCTGCGTGTGCTTGGGACGATCCAGCATTCTCAGTACTCGAAAAGCATGAAGAACCAGGCTAACGACCTCCGGAACTGGGTCGTCGAGATCCATAACGGTGTATACCCCCATCAGGTGAGTGTCCATCACCGCCGTCAACTATGTTCCCACCTTACGCTTGTGTAGCAATCAACGGGGCTGTTCAAGAACTACGCGGACGATAGCTCGACGTTCGAGGACGCCTCCGGCACCGCGATCCTCGCAAGCACAGTCTACCGCCTCGCCCTCCTAGCGGACGTTCATACGCACCTCCCCGCCGCCGAGAAGAGCCGCGCCGCCCTCTTCGCCCCGGCCTCCTCCTCCTCCTCCTCCTCATCCTCATCTACAAGCACCGCTCCATCCTCGTCGTCTACCGCGTCGACACTCGCTCACTTCACGTCTGACATGTGGCTGACCCCCGTGGTGAACCCGGACTCGATCGGGAGCCAGGGTAGCCGGAGCCCCGAGGGCCAGGCGTTCGTCGTCGAAATGTACGCTGCGTACCGCGACTGGGTCGACGCTGGATCCCCTGGGGCGAACGCCGGTGTGCGAGCGCGCGCGGCAGGAGGAGCGGTTTTGCTCGCCTTCGTGTGCTCTGTGCGTTTGCTATTCGCGGCATGACCGACGGCGGATTTCGACGGTTATTCGAAGTCGGTATTCATGCCCGGACATGCTACTTGAGAGAACTTTCACGGACGCTAGAGGTTATTATCTCAGGATCAGTTTCTGTCCTTTTCGTGTTGCTGCGCTCCTTGCTTTTTGGACCCTACGTTGTTGTACCTCGCTGTAGACTGTACTGTACTTTACCCTGACATTACGGTAATGCAAATTTTCTTGCGGACTCGGGCAGGGATCATAATGTGATAAGTACGGCAGAAAGGTCTCAGCCAGCCCGTTGCAAAAAAGTGGAACATTAGCCCACCGCGAGGGTCGAACTCGCAGCCTTCAGATTGTCCCAAACCAAGCTGGTCATGGATAAGAGTCTGACGCTCTATCCGATTGAGCTAGGCGGGCCATGCAAAACAATTGACCCATGCTACCTCCATGCGCCCGAAGCAAGTTGCTCAACGCGATCACATGATACGTGGGAAAACTGCACGGCGCTTTTGCACGGGCACTGCAGTCTGGAAGAGTCTGGAGGTCGCGATATGCCAACGACCAGAAGCTCTTCCTCGACGACCAGGACCTTTTGCTCATCATCATCAACTTCCTCTTCATCTTATCACGCGGTCATATTTCCTGGTTTTTGACGATGTCGGGCGGTCCGGCTTATATTGGTAAACCTCCCCCGCAATGGACGCGAAAGCGAAGAGAATGGGAGCAACAACGAGCGCGAGAGCGAGAATTAGCAGAGCAAGAACGGGAGCTCTCCCCGGCAGTCCCGGATCCGCCTGTGACGCCCTCACGTAGCGCGATATTTGGGTCACCCAACAAATCTGCGCGTGTATACAAGACTTATGCCCACAAACGGGCGCGATCCCAAGCCAGTTCCGTCGCAGGCGAGCCAGACGATGCGCATGATGGCGGTGAGTAATGTCGCGGATATATGCTCCTTGATGAGTGTTGAGGATGTTGTAGCGTCGCGAGAATCTTCACCTGAGCCTTCCCCCACTAAAGATACGCATATACCCGCACATACCGAACCGAAACCCTCGTCAACGCGCGCGAAGAGAGCACACAGTCGATCAACACGCCAAGTCGCGACTTCCTCCTCGAACATCCGTCCCCACCCGTCCTCTCCCTCTGTCTTCGTGGAATTAACGTCCCGCCGTCATCCCCCACCCGCACAGTCCAACGCCACAGCACCTATCGCAAGTGTAGAACGCACTAGAGGGCGTTCACGCGAGACGAAGGGGATTGCTCTTCCCAGTCCTTCATCGACCTCCGAAGAGAACGGCGACTCGCGTCCGAGAAAGCGGGCCCGCGTGCCTTCCGGTCCCAGCATGTCGCTCAGTGAGGCGCTAAACCACTCCTTCGCCAGGACGAACTCTGCCCACCCATCTCCGATAAGTGCTACTCCTGCCTCTTTCGCTTCAGTGTCCCTTCCCGTTGCAAGTTCTTCCGCACTTTCCAATACCAACGCCTTACTCAAGCGCAAGCCGGGCAGGCCGCGTGGACGCGGTCGAGGGCGCGGGCTTGCTCCGATGGATCCTGTGGTTCCTCATAGTGCGCTGGGGAGTGCCGCAGGTCAGGTAGCCTCCAGTTCTGTGCGCGCCCCGACATCGGCTGCGGGAAGCGGGGTGGCTTCTTCGAGCCGCGCACAGCCCATAATGGCGGATGAAGAGGAGGAATCCGCCGATGAAGACATTGCTCCAGTGGTTCCAGCCAAGCGACCTCGCGGCCGGCCACGCAAGAATTCGGCGCCGCAGCCCCCTTCGCGAACGTCTTCTCGACCGCGCCGGTCCGTATCTCGTCGACGGAGCTCACAGCAGCCGCAGCTGTCTTCGGACTCGGAGACAGTCGCCGCACAACTCATGCAAGACTTCGACAGTCCTTCTCAAATCAACTTGCAACAATCTGTGGACGTCCTGCCTGTAGCCAGGGCTCTCGAGGAACAAGCGATGCGGGAAGCAGACCAGTCTTCCTCTTCCGCGAAGCGACCTCGGGGACGCCCGAAGGGGAGCAAGAACAAGGCTACTTTGGAGCGAGAGGCATCGGCTGTGGATGTTCGCCATGTAGCGACAGCGCTCGAGGACCACGAGATGCAGGGGGCGGGACCCTCATCCCCACCGCGCCCTCGGGGCCGTCCGAAGGGAAGCAAGAACAGGTCTACTCTGGAGCGGGAAGCACTCGCCAGAGCCGCAGCTGATCAATCTCTCGCTGCAATCCCCATCGTACCCGCACCTGCCCCAGTCAAACGCGGCCCAGGACGACCCAGGAAGAGCGCTCCCAATCCCCCGACCTTGCCACTTTCAGAGACTGTCGACTACATGGAACCCCTCAAAGATCCAGACGCGGAGGACGTCCCTCATCCTTCGACGCTCCATCCCGGCCGCCGCGGCCGCTCCCGCACGCGGCGGAACAGCACTCCAGCAGCATCCTCTGACTCTCATGCGTACTATCTTGACATGACGACCCTGCAGTGGAAGCCCCGCGCGCGGTCTGCCTCCGCCTCCCCATCGAAACGCCTGATGAAGGCAGTGAAGGGAGGCAACGAGTACCAGACGAGCGGCCGACTGTGCGCGGCTCTCAAGCAGAAGCTGCTGCAGGCGCCGCACCCGAAGACCAAGGAGACCTCGACCCAGGACAAGGACGACGCGTTGCGGGTTTCGCGGTCGGGCGTGCTCTTGCTCGGAGACCAGGGAGCGGAGGAGGCGGGACCCATGGAGGTGTTTAGCGGCTGCTGGGAGGTTCTTGCGGACAAGGATGCTGTGTGCGACGACGCGCTCGCGCTCAAGACCCTGCACGACGTCGTGAAGCGGTTGGGTATATGTATCAGGTACGTCTTGCGTCTCGATGACCCTGCCTTTCGAGGTCTGTCGCGCTGACGTTTGTCTCTTTCGCAGCTTTGGCGAGGATGGCCCAATACTCGCTAGGTCCGACGATGGGCGCACGGTCGCGGTTGCGGTCCCGTGCGGGTGTCTTTCTCTGCAAGAACGCTCGTCTTCGTCGGGCGGTACTAAGTCCTCCTCGCCGCTTGAATGTGCGGGGGAGATGACGGTGAGCGTCACCGAACAAGAGGAGGAGAGCTTCCCCGGGGCGAAGGTTCATCGCATCACTGTTAGTGTTATGCACTAGCGCGGCGTCGGTGTCGTGATTTGGTTCTTCCACGCGTATGTACACGGGGAGGTTGGGTTCTCCTGCGGTTATTTCGTTTGATTCGTCTTTGTATACTTGTCCCGGCTTCCCTTGCCAGCATTTCATCCGAGCTTTGGTCTGCTCTGCTGGTGCTGTACCAGTATGTGTATCATTTGGTTCATCTTTATGGCATGTTGCATGAATACGATAGCTTATGACACACGAGTCCGATTCAGTCCCGGTATGCAGTTGCACAGATAACACGTGGTACGAATGAGTCTTGTGGTTAAATCACTTTCCATTGGTTCCTTTTGCCCTCCGCACAATTCGCGCACGTTCTTCGTTGTTCCGGTAAGCTGTTCAGATTTCTTCAGCGGAGGCAAACGACTATCATCAGTCGGCGCAGGCATGCAGGACAACAGCCACTTGCCGGCCGCTGGAACGGTGAGTCTACTCAGGCTCGGATGTTGAGGCTGAGGCACTGACTTGTGGTGCGTTGCCAGGTGTAACGCCGCTTGACTTCGAGGACTTGCTGATGTAGTTCATCTCCGAATGCGGCTCATATGAAAACCAGTGGGCTTCCTTTCTACTGAAGGACATACGCAGCTCCTCACACCAACTTCGCAAGAAAAAGCTCCGCCCGGAAGGCCAGCGGCCAGCGAGAACATCTTCCGGACGGTCATACATGGAGCGTGCCTGCTGCGACTTGAAAATGTATTCAACAATAACGTTAAAACAACATCAACGTCCGTCACAAAATCAAGGGTGTCATCAGCTATGGCCACCACCGAGACAACGGAGAGAACAGTGCCTGTGGTATCACCGATGACCAGGAGTCCGATGCAGCACGTGTGACATAGATTCGAAAAGAGGTGGAAGAATTGCACAACATAGCAGAGGGACGACATAGTGTATAGTGTCAGCGAGACGGTATGTGGGAGCGAGACGACGCATGGTGACCGCAAGGAGGGAAAGGGGTGGAGCGCACGCGCGAGCAGAAGGCCAGACCAGGACACAAAATGAACGAGTATAAGGTACGTAGATGAGCGGGGCCTCGCCGATGCCGATGCCTGGGCTCCGTGGTATCTTCAGGAAGGAATGCGGTGAATATGTACGATGTAGTAGCAGGCAGTAGTAGGAGCAAACGCTTGTTTCACAATACGCACACTGGAATGATAGGAGATATACCAGCCACGAGATAGACGGAGCAAGGGAGCAGCAATAAGGAAAGGTTGGGTAACGTGGGCGTGCGGTAGGCGGTAGGCGCTATGCGAGAGGAGGCCGCATCGTTCACCGGTGCTGGATACGATACTTTCAGAGTCGGCCGACGCAGGGCGGAACGCAAATGGGGAGGGTGGAAAAGGACGTAGCAAGGGAGCAACCGTCGTAGAGAAGGTGCGCTACGCCTCCTCTTCCTCCGGTTCCTCCAGGACGTTGTGAAGAGGTGCGCCATGGATGTAGCGAGTGGGAAGATCAATGGGAATGTCTTCGACGCTCACCTTGTCATCCGCGGGCTCTTCGATCTCCGGAAGGTCGGCAGGAGTGGCCGCAGCGGGAGACGGAGTGGCAGGCAAAGGAGAGATAGAGCGTTCCCGGCCATTCTGGAGCGACGCTTGGCGGACGGGGAGACGGGAGGAAGGGATCGGGCTGCTCTGAGCCTGGCGTTCGCGCTCGCGATACATCTCGATGAGATTCGCTGTCTTACTCGCAGCCGACTTGTTACGGAGCAATGTCGCGGTCTCAGGCGCCGAAGGAAGGGTCTTCGTGACATCTCGGGGAATGGCCTGCGAGCCAACATGGACAGGCTCTGGGTCGGACTCGTATTCAGAAGCGGCGGACTGTCTGAGGAGGTCGGCGTTATCTCGTACGACGAGGTTGCGAGGTCTGACTGTGGCAGCAGTGTAAGGGTTGTTGGTTGAGGTATCACTCTCATACGAGGGACGTTCGAGACGATCGCGGGGATCATCCGTGATTGTGGCTGGACGGCGATCTGGGTGAAGATCGAAGTACCCTGGCCGCTTCTTCGGCGTGATCTTCAAGGACTCGTCTTCCTCATCGTCACCATGCTGCAAGGAATCAGAGTCGTGGTGGTCTAGAACGGAGTCATGCAGCGTCGACGTCTCGCCTCCGCTGGGTCCAGCAACAGGCTCCATGCCATCCTCCTCCTCGTCCGAGAACCGAGCGCGCACGGCGGCAAGCACCTCAGAAACCTCCTGGCTCGCAAGCTCGGGGTCCGACCGACCGCCCTTCAGTCCATTGCGCAGCTGGGCATCCTG